TTATATTAAGTGCTTAGATATACTGAATCATGATCTATAAAAAATTTCATTAATATCTTTGGGTATTAATTTAATAGAGTTTTACCAACTGTCACCTAACCTTTAGTGGTGCTCCTATACTTTATAATATAGACCAAGAACTCATATGAATTTACAGTAAGGTATCTAAATTGCTGTAATATGCTATATAACAGATGCATCAAACACTGATATTCTGAGTTTCCTAAATACTTCATTTGCAAAGTTTTTTTGTTTCACAGCATCATTGAAATTCTCAAAACTGATAGGTGAGATTTTTGGGGTGAGCTAGTTTTTATACTCTGCTTTCTAAGTTTCCCCAGCAACTGTTGAATTTGAAGATGGTCCTTCTCATCTTATATTGTTTTGTACCTACCCATGTTGACCCTATTCTGGCAGCAATGCTTATACTTCTTACCTTGCAAGAAGCCATCGGCCCTTGGGTTGGCCTGATTTTCACAATATTGATGTGTGTAGCAAAACTTGCCCATATTTTACCTTTATGGGAGTGTGATGGGTGTGAAAGGGAAACGAAAATTCTTCCACTGATAGAGTATATATTATTTTCTTTCTTCTTTTTTAGAGATTTTCCTTTTTTTGGCTTTTGCTTCATGGTCCCCATTCCAAGTGTTAATGATTCTACTCAAGTGTTGAATTCCAGACTCATCTCATTACAGGTCCTGTAATAAAATCTTTAAAAAGACATGTTATCTTACCTAATCCTCAAAACAAGTAAGTATATTAGTCACAAATGCTCCAGAGCTGTGCTGAACATTAGAGTAACCACTAGCCACGTGTGGCTATTGTGCAGATGAAATATGGACAGTTCAAAATGAGATGTGCTATAAGTGTAAAATACATGCCATAGTTTGAAGACCTAGGATGGAAAAAAATATAAATTATGTCATTAACACATTTTTGTATTGATTACATATGGAAATGATAATATTTTGGATATATTGGGCTAACTAAATGATATTATTAGAATAAGTTCACCTATTTCATTTTTCACTTTTTTAATGTGGTTATTAGAACATTTAAAATTAGAAATGTGGTTCACATATTTTTGTAGGACATCACTGCTCTAAAAACTGCCAGGCTCTTTCTCTACGGGAAAGAATCTCAGGCTTTTTGCTTAGAATTACAAATACTTGAAGATTTTTATTTTGGGGTGTGTGTGTGTAAAACTTTCAACTGCCTTGAACAAGATAAACAGATACCAGGTGGGTTCCTGAAAATTAGAAGTGCAGTTGGCCTTGTACACAAACAAGCTAAAAGGGATAATTAGACCACAGTAAAAAGACTGAATAAAGTTAAAAAACGAAAGAAAAGAACAGGACCTAGGTAAATTAAATCAATGGAATTATATCAATGTCTAGGATGATAAAGTGCAACAAGAGAGGAACAACCATGTCTACAGACAGGGAAGGACATGCTGGGGGTAGTGTGGGAATGTTCATGATGGAGGGGCTGTGCTACTGCATGTTACCCTAGGGGTGAGACGATTGGAAGAAAGGTAGGTAGAGCTACTGTAATCAGTTATCTGCTTTGGAATCCCAGATCCTTCTAGTTAGGGTGTGGCTCTGCTCTCAGTCCTCAGAACAACGGTGTGAAACAGACAGTAAACTCCATCAAACTGGAATGGCCATGTTACTGGACGCATGATCGCAGAAGATGGTCAAGGCCATCTTGCCCAGAGAAGTCTCTTGGCCAGAGAAGTCTCTGGTCTTTATTATTTCCGCTATACCCATGAGGACACTAAGGTTTAGAGCAGTTAAGTCTCTTGCTCAAATCACAAAGCCAGGAAGAGACAAAGGTAGATTTTTTAAAGCCAGTTCTACCTGACTTTAAATCTCACTGTTACCTTCTGTGCTCTTCCTCCCCTGTCAAAGAGGATATAGTTCCTGCCTTTAAGTAACTCTTAGACTAGTGAAGAAATATTTAATTTGTTATTTTAAATTACAAATTATTTATTACAACTTGGACTTTATCCTTTTTGGTTAGTTTGCTGTACCTTTATAGACACAGTTTTGACTGTATTATTTAAAACTTCTGGGAATGTGAAGTGACCTAGTGTAGTTTGTAGGCAGAGAAGTTTGATGTCTTGTCTTTGCACAGCAACAGAAGAGCTTAAGGACCCACCTTTGTGATCACATTGGCCTAGGGAACATTAATGGTGTCTGTGGCTTAGAACAAGATGGTTCTAATTATAGTATTTGGTGTTAATTCTTCAGTTCACCAAAATGATTGCTCCAATAGTGTCTATCTCTTTCTTGCTTTCCCTTCTCCTTTAGATCTGATTTTGTTTTAATCAGATTCTGTTCTCACTTTTCCTGATTTTAATTGTGAAGGACTGAGTCTATTCATCTCTGCAATATCATTGCTTAGCCCAGTGTTTAGCAGTTAGTTGATGCTTTGTCATCCATTTGTGATGTGAACACATTTCTATGCAGTAAAGATTCAAGAAATAGAAATTGACTATCTTTTAAGGGCTAGGCACGATGCTGGGGATAGAATAGTGCATATGGTTGTATGCCATACTTAAAATCTGATGGGAAACAATGACATACTAGTGTGACAAACCCTGCCCTTGTATAAGCATAGGGTGCTGTGGGAACACAGGGACTGGTAAAAATCTGAAAGATTTCCAGAGGAAGTACTATTTAAGCTGAAACATCAGGGAAGCAGTAAACAAGGAGAAAGGATTAGGGGACTGGTGGAAAAGGAAAGGCATTCCTAGCTGAGAGAACAACAGGTAAAGATATTCTGGACCTGCAATTTTAGTTTGGAGTTTGGTTGGAGGGTATAATGGGGGCAGGAGGTGAGAGTAAGAGGAGTATGGGGATGGAAGGGATTAAGGAAAAATATTCAATCATTGTTGAAAGAATTATTTTAAAAAGCAATACATCACACAGAGAAATTCACTAAGAATTTCTAAGATGATTCATTTAGAGTACACGTTTTAGACCATTTTGTCTCATGAGCATACTTTATGTAATTAAAAAGAATAAAATGGATTTCAACCTGATAACATTGGAGACCTTATATTCATATACACTTACGCATATGTATTATACATCCACTTCATTATGATTCTATGGTCTATAACATACTTATCATTAGGGACACTTACCTCATGATAAATGGGCTTCATTAGTAGTGGTTCAAGGCTTTATTATTTATTCATCTATAGAGATTATAAATCTTCTATTAATTCATTTTTCAGAAACTATTACTTTTCATTTCAGATGCTTTCTGATGGTAGCTTTTAAGTGAAGAAGGCTAAAATCAATTCTACTTCTTAATCAGTTTATAAATTTGGGAGGAGGCAATAGGCTTGAATACGAGGACTGCATGAAGATGCATAATGCACACCAGGTTTTAAGTCTTAGAACTTTGGTAAATATATTGTATTCTCTCATTAGTGCATTTTCAGTCTCAGGTAATCTAACTTCAAAACTGATATAACATTTTCTGGGGATGTGGCTTATAAGGATCAATGAATTAAATATAGTTTTTAATACTCCAAATAACAATTTATTAATTATTTATAAAAATTAGAGGTTACAACTGTTATCTCAAATCCAGTACTTTTGTGTGTGTGTGTATGTGTGTGTGTGAGTGTGTGTATGTGTGTGTGTGGTTGATTCAAAGTGAAGGAATCCTAAGTAGGCATTTAGAATTTTTAAAAAGATGTGAAAATCTGTACATTATTTTATTTGTTAATGGATAAGGTTCATCTATAATACTATGATAATTTTTGAAGCAAACTACTTGTATAGCAGTGTAGTCTTTTCACCTTTGTACTTTACAAATCAATGATTACTTATGTTTCTGAACACAAAAGGATGTCCCAGGATGAATAGCCACAAGAAGGGAGTTCCTCATTTGCATCTCTATCCTCACTATCACAAATAATGCTGATCTTACAGCCTGTACCTGTGCTGTGTACAAATGGAAATTAAAATGAGCTTAAATTCATATAATTTTCATTTATGCCCTGACTCTTACGGTTAGATTACTAATAAAACATAAGCCATTTCTCTTGCTCTGAAAGCTGAAAGGGAAATGAAGAGATTAATCAGAGGATAGAGCAGGATCGGAACTAGGAGCAAATAGAGTAAGTTCCCTCCCTGGCTTTGTCCCTTCCTCCAAAAATATCTATTAAGCATCTACTATGACTCAAATACTGAAGGGATGAAAGGAGAGAACCGTCACGTTACCACAATCTTTTATTAGTTTTGTGAACTGAAAAACAGATTTCAGTTTTAAAAATTCTTCAACTATTTTGTAGCACATGCAGTTAAATATGCAATCATGACATCTGAATGTAATTGAGGTTCCGGCATTTCGCCCTTCACTTCAAAAACTATGCTAAAACCACTACAAGAGATTCACCCCCCCCATGTATTTTTTTGGCAATCAAAGTCCTCACGCCAACATTTGTAGTAATTTCAGATTGGCACCCTAGCATTTCTGTTATAACCCAACCCGCTGCCCCACTTCCCACCTTAATGCAAGATTAAAAAAAAAAAAAAGATAGTTTTACTGGGCGAACAAGGGCAAGGGAGGAAAGGAGGGACGGACGGAAGGGGGGAATGAAATGGATGAAGGAGAGATGCTGTCCTTTTTCCCGTTTGTTTTCGGTCCCCTGCCCTCTTCTTCCCATCTCCACGCTCGCTGTCAAGTAGCATCACCTCCAGGCTCGGCCCTCGGTCCTTCCCCCTAGCATCGGAACCCCGCCGCCGGAGGCTGGCACCTATCTCTTTAAATGACAGCTGTGGCTCGGGTCCCAGTCCCGGGCTTGACGTCAGCGCCGCCTCCCCGGCTAAGAGGAGTAGTTTGCGCCACAGTCCGCGCTCGGGGCTCGCGGCGCGCTCGCAAGCTGCTGGGGCGGCGAGTTTTCTTTGCTCCCGCCCCTCCTCCCGCCCTCCCCGCGGAGAGCCGAGCGGCAGCTTAAGAGCCTCTCGCAAGTCTCTCACACTTCCCCGCCGTCGCCCTCAAAGGAGCAGCCGCTCCTCCTCGCGCCGCCGCCGCCGCCGACGCCGCCGCCGCCGCCGCCGCCGCCGCCGCCGCCGCCGCCGAGGCGTCCGCAGAGCTCCTCTCCTGCACATCGCTCCCCCGATGGACCCCGGGCGCCGCCGCCGCCGCCGCTGCCCCGAGCCCTGAACCGGGCCTCCTCGGCCGGAGAAACGTGCCGCCCGGCCCGAGGGCGCATCAGGGGCACGCCACCTGGGGTGCAGGGCGCGGGTTTCGGGAAGGAGAAAGTGCTGCTCTCCAGGGTCACTTGGCCAGCGGCCGCGGGGGGGGACCATGGCTTTGAAGGACACGGGCAGCGGCGGCGGCACCATCCTGCCCATTAGCGAGATGGTCTCCTCGTCCAGCTCGCCCGGCGCGTCGGCAGCCGCCGCCCCGGGGCCCTGCCCGCCCTCGCCCTTCCCCGAGGTGGTGGAGCTGAACGTAGGGGGCCAGGTCTATGTGACCAAGCACTCGACGCTGCTCAGCGTCCCGGATAGCACTCTGGCCAGTATGTTCTCGCCCTCTAGCCCCCGGGGCGGCGCCCGACGCCGGGGCGAGCTGCCCAGGGACAGCCGGGCGCGCTTCTTCATCGACCGGGACGGCTTCCTCTTCAGGTACGTGCTGGATTATCTGCGGGACAAGCAGCTCGCGCTGCCGGAGCACTTCCCCGAGAAGGAGCGGCTCCTGCGCGAGGCCGAGTACTTCCAGCTCACCGACCTGGTCAAGCTGCTGTCGCCCAAGGTCACCAAGCAGAACTCGCTCAACGACGAGGGCTGCCAGAGCGACCTGGAGGACAACGTCTCGCAGGGCAGCAGCGAGGCGCTGCTGCGCGGGGCGGCGGCCGCAGCGCCCTCGGGTCCCGGAGCGCACGGGGGTGGCGGCGCACCGGACAAGCGCTCCGGCTTCCTCACGCTCGGCTACAGAGGCTCCTACACCACGGTGCGTGACAACCAGGCGGATGCCAAGTTCCGGCGCGTGGCGCGCATCATGGTGTGCGGACGCATCGCGCTGGCCAAGGAGGTGTTCGGAGACACGCTCAACGAGAGCCGCGACCCTGACCGGCCGCCCGAGAAGTACACGTCCCGCTTCTACCTCAAGTTCACCTACTTGGAGCAGGCGTTCGATCGCCTGTCTGAGGCCGGCTTCCACATGGTGGCGTGTAACTCCTCGGGCACCGCCGCCTTCGTCAACCAGTACCGCGAAGACAAGATCTGGAGCAGCTACACGGAGTACATCTTCTACCGTAAGTTCGCGGTCTCCGAATTTCCCAGTTCTCCCCGCCCCCTCGCCGACCTCCGGCGGGTTCCAGCGCGTCTGGTGTCGTTGTGTGCCTCCCCTATCGCGGCAGCCACGATTTATGGTTTCGTGCCTTGCGATCTCCCTTTTGGCTCCTCTCTTCAGCAACTCAGGAGCACGCAATTTCCCAAGCAGTCCTTTTTCTTAACTTTATTGGTCTTGCCCTCTCGCCCCGCCCAGCTCTTGGAGCCTCTAGTCTACCTTCTACTGTCGAGGGCCGGGAAAAGACAGGGGCACAAGGCTGGGCGCATAGGTCCCCTTCCTTCTCTCTGTCTCCGTGGGACTCACGGGGGTCAACTTATGTGGGTTCCAGTGGTGTCCCTCCAGAGGGCTGGTTGGCATCAAGGTACTGCGGCGCACGCCGGGTTTACCTCCGGTTGGTGCGGGTCGGCGCTGGAGCATTCAATTATGGGTGGTTGCGGAAAGGGGCAACAAGAGAAGTGGCGATTGTGCCTCCAAAGCCCCTCAAGGACCAGGGGGGAAGGAGGTTTCCACTGACCCGTAGAAACGTCAGATTTCTCTCGCGCCAGTTGTCTTCTGTAACTGTTCGGGGTTTTGAACAGAGAAGGGTGGAGGGAACGGGCTTTGGTGGTCTGAGTGCTGTCAGAGTTGGACATGAGGAAGGAAAGTGGTGTGTATGCGCCTGTGTGTGTGCGCGCGCGCGCGTGTGTGATTGTGTTTCCTTTCTGGGCGCCTCCAGTGCGAATGAGGGATTGAATCCACTTTCCTAGGGGGAATAAACGCAGTGATTTTCTGAACTGAGAGAACGAGGGAGTGTGGATTGGAAAGCATCTGGCGCAATGCTTTTTGTAGTGCACTTCGGCGGGGGCGGTGGGGGGGCGGGTTCTGTGGGTCAAGTTCAAGAACTCCACCGACTAGCACTGGGGCTTGGGGGATGGGGAACCGGGGCGGGGACAATTCTCAGCGACGTTTATAAAGTGAGGAGGGCCGCAACTAGAGAGCTATGTGGACAAATGGAAAACCATCTGGGATGGGAGCAGGAACATCATTTGGCAAATGTTTTTTCTTTCTCAAGACACAAGAAGATTGAAAACTTGCCTGAAGTGTTAGGGAGAGTAGCATTGACAGCCTGTGTATAAGCCCAGCTTTAATTGTATTTATTTATTAAGTAATTCACTAACTGTTTGGGATCCAGGCAATTTTTTGCACTTTATTTTGACTGGGGAAGTGGAAAGGACCTCTCTTTGCACAGGCGTGAGATTGATTGGAAGTTGCTCATTGTTTGTGTATTCTAGTAACCTTGGAGGTAAGGGTGACAAAACTCAGCACACTTAGTGTTAGATTGTCTTTTTTAATAGTGCTGGTTTTCCTAAGAAAACCATTTCAACAGAGAAGCAAAGAAAGTGTCCATTGGAGTGGTAGATAAAAATCTAATTTTCTTAGAGAAAGACAAATATTATATCACTTATATGTGGAATCTAAAAAATAATACAAATGAATCTATATACAAAACAGAAACAGACTCACAGACATAGAAAAAAAAGGTTATGGTTACCAAAGGGGAAAGGTGGGAGGAATAAATTAGGAGTTTGGGATTAACAGATACAAATAACTATACATAAAATAGATAAGCAACAAGGATTTACTGTACAGCACAGGCAACTATATTTAATATCTTGTAATAACCTGTAATGGAAAATAATCTGAAAAAAAATATAACTGAATCACTTTTCTGTGTACCTGAAACTAACACAATAATGTAAATCAATTATATTTCAATAAAAAATCTAATAAGATTTTTTATTCTTAATTATATGAAAGTATTATTTGGTACACAGTAAAAAGATCAATAGTCAGAAGAGCCACCCAAAGGAAGGGACCTTTATTGACACTTCAGACCTTAAACATTTATGTCATTTCAACATAGATATATTTCCAAGCATTTCAGAAGATGAGAGGAAATGAACTTTTGACTTCTTTTAGTGATTTTTAGTGGTTAGTGATTTTTGTTAGAGAAGGTGTAAGCATAAGTGTTCTGCAGTTAAGGTTCTTGAATTTTAGATTCTTTCGCAGTTTTGGTCTTTCTTTTTCCCCTAGAAACTTGCGGACTTGAAAATGCCTGTTACTTTGATTATGAAGAAATAAGACATGTTGTCTTTAAATTATGAAAAATGCTCATAAAATAGTGAACTGAAGTTGGAAACTCAGCCAATTTAAGTCATAAGATGATTTGAGAGATGCTTAGAATTCAGGATATTTCACTTCTGGAGCTGGAATAAGTGAAAGAAAATAAAATATTTATATTATGAATAATGACTTGCAGAGTATTCACATAACAAATGAGTCCTGAGATTCATTGATAAAAGTCCCAGAAATCTAAGGAAGCAACTCAAAGCCTTTTTCATTGATTATCCTGTGGGGGAAAATACACAATTCCAGATTAAATATGGTTCTTGTGAAGTGGTATTCCAGTTGACCAACCAAATGTGGTTGCCGTTTTTTATTTGTGATATAAAATTTATCTCGAAGACTGTTATATATACATTTATTTTATGTTTTGTATAGCTTGCAGCACATTTTCACAAATTATTTTGTATGGGATTCCATTTAAATTGGTGAATTCACTGTATTTCCATCCTATTCAGTGAAGGTAATAATGTTAACTATTCAGTGTAGTTATCTTGTTTAGCAATCTCTATTTTTAAAAGACTACCAGTGTTATTCATAAAAACAAAATCATTAGATGAACTTGTTTGTCCACCGTTTCAGATGCAGAGGGCCTTATTATCTTTTATTTCTCCTTTGACACAGTCCTTTCAAAACGTTTTTTTTTTAATGTATAACATGTATCAGTCATTTTAACACCTTTTAAAGGTGAACTTAGTAGTTTGAAGCTGCTCTAAAAAGTGTAGAATTGGTTTATACACTTGAACATCAATTTCAGCTCTTCACTCCCCCGCCCCTGCACCCAACTTCACCCCTGAGTTTCTGTAGACATGAGAGGAGAGTGGCAAATGGTTCAGTAATCCCAGACACTGCTATTTGCCAAATGCGTGATCTTGACTAAATTATTTTAGTTTCCTCACCTGTGCAATGGAGATTATTATAGTAAGAATTTTATAGAATTTGAGAATACATGTAAAGTGCTTGGACCAGTGCTTGACCTATAATAAAAGCTTAAAAAATGTTAGCTGTTACAATTATAGTAAAGACTTTTTCTTGTCAGTATTAAATTTAAATTTTGTTTTTAGTAAGTATAGTTGATTTACCTGTAAAGTTAATTAGAAAATTATTTTGCAATTAAATGATAGCATAATAAACTTTCAGAAGTTTGAAACTACCAATTTAATAACCAAATTCTTCCCTGGAACTTGGATTTTTCAGGCCAAGTTCGAGCCACCTAGGTTTGCCAATCACACTCCAGTTAGTTATTTTGGATCAACTCCAACAGAACCCTTTTCTGATTCAGGGCCAAGAAGTGTTTTAATATTCTCCATTAGGAGTTGAAACTTTGGCAGTATTTTCTCACAGACACTGAGCTAGATTCATAACTCCTTAAGTACTTGTATCCACATCATTGGGTTCTAATACAGGCTATTAAAGATTTAATATCAGCTTCATTTGGCTACATGGACACTTTGATCTATTATCAGCCATAACTCATAGTTTTATCAAGATTTTAGACTCTGCAACATATACTAGTACTATTAAATTCCATGTTACTCTACTAGTACTAAAGATGGATTGTCCTTTCTTGAAGGAAAACAGTGATTTATTGTGTTTTCTGATTTTTGGGGGGTGTCTGTTAAGTGTAATTGTGGCTCTTTTTAGCAATATCTCAGAGACGAAAAAAGGCATTTTGTGTTGGCATTGTATTACATAGACAGTAGCTATCTGCTTGGAATGTGATATGTAGACTACCCATAATTAAAATGAGCATTATATATATCCTTTATTTCTCATAAACAGTGTGTTTACAGAAAGGTAGTACTGATTCACTGCTCTTCTCTTATAGTGCTTTGAGTTTTGCATTCTGTGTTGGTTGAATAATACGTGGTGTGAAAGTATACATTTCTCTAGGTGCATTTGATATTCCTTAAATTTGGTACAGCCTTTTTTGTTGTGATGTATGAGAATGCCAGATATAGGACCTAATGCTATTACTGAACTGGACTGTGAATTCTAATCTGTCTTAATGGATTCTTATATACACTCTTCACTGTGTTGGGTTGAAGAAAGCTAACTGAGTTGAAAATATTCAAACAGCTATTCAATCCTGTTAGCAGGCCTGTTGCATTAAAAGCTTTCTAAGAAACGTCTTTAAAAAGTCATTCTATTTAGATGCGTACCTTTAAAATTACATATTATTTTCTAGTCCAAAAGTACTTCTACTTTTATCAACAAACACTGTTTTATGGAAAATAACTTTGTTCCTTCTTATTTTTTTTTTAAAGTTGGTTCTTTTCTTCTTGGAGACTTACTAGTCATTTTTATAATTATCATGGAAAAATTTCTTCTGCAACCACATGGCTGAATGACTTTTGAATCGACGGGGAACAGATAACTTTGTAAAACACCAAGATTCTTATTTCATGCAAATACAATATTTGCAGTAATAAAGCAGACAGAAAATGACAAAAACCTTGGAGTGCAAAATGTTTGGAAGCCATGCCATGGCATTGGTTGCTGTTTAAGGGCATTAAACTTTTATGTCTGGCATAGTACTGTCTCTAGATTTGATCTTTTAAAATTGTGTTATGGCTTTAGTTTTCTCTGCCACCCTTTCTACAGCTTTGTGTGGGTCAATCCTTAAGCATATAATAAAGCAAAAAGACAATGGCACTACAAGCCTTATTTGGCAAGTTCTTTCTCTTTTGTAGCTTAGAGTAGAAGAACTCACAATGAGTGTGTTTGTGTGCCTTAGTTAAAAAGAAAAAAATCTCTTTGGAAAAAGAGAAATAATATGTATGAAATTAGCAACAATTA